TAATTTATGAATTATCAAGGGTTCAAGGGGAGGGGGGAGTGGGGAGGGAGGGGAAAAATAAGGAGCTGATTCCAAGGGCTCAAGTAGAAAGCAGGTGTTTTGAGAATGATGATGGCAACGTATGTACGAATGTGCTGGACACAAATGATGTATGTACGGATGGTGAAAAGAGTTGTATGAGCCCCTAATAAAATGATTTGAAAAAAAGAAAAACAGAAAAAAAAAATATGGGTTGCCTTTGACGTGTTCGAAGGGCACCCAGGTGGAGACATGCGCCAGGAAGGGGCTGTTGAAAGGGACTGGTTTTCACCATGGGAGTGACTGAACTTTCGTTCTTGGAGGTCACTGAGCAGGGGCATAGAGGAAGAGCCCTATGGACACAAGGAAAATCCACATCACGAGTTTGCTTTTGGGCAAATCTAGGCATATACCCCTGCACACCCAAACGTTAACAACAGACTGCCACACGTCAGAATTGACTTGGCGGCAGTGAGGGGGGCGTTTGGGTTTGGATTCCGGGGGAATGACGGCCACCGACTGGGACAGATGGTGACTGCTACTACCAGCAGGGCAAAATCCGTGCTCCTAATCAAAGTTGTCCTAATCCAATGCCCTCCTTCGCTAGTCTTGGACCACGTTTACAAAAGAGGTATCTTACGAACCTGTTTTCAAAACAATGGCTCGGACAGGACCCTGCCCAGAGGGCTTGATCTGGATGACTTCCGTTCCGCAGAAAAGCACGTGTCTCCGGTAGTCCTCCAGGCTGTGCGATTTCCAGGGCATGGTGTGCTCCGACTGGGGCAACGGCGTCTTTGTCACGGGCACACTTTCTCCTGAGGAAGACCGGTGGTTGGTGCCGCAGAACTTAACTTACGGTATGGACTGCAGGTAATTATTTAGCACTGGGGCTTGCCAGTTTCAAGAGATTATACAAAGCACAATTTACCCAGTCCTCATGTCTAGCCCACAGAGGTGAGATGAGAGATCTTAGAGGCATTTGTTTATGGTTCAAGCAATAAGAAGTTTTTTAAAAAATAAGTTTTATTGTGGGTATTTTAATTGCTTTTCTAAGAGCTGCTATATTCCTGAGACAAGTGCTTAACACTGCTATATTCCTGAGACAAGTGCTTAAACTTGCTAGATGGCATAATTTCTTGGGACAATATTAACTTGTTTCTTTCTAGTCGTCTTTACAGCAGAGCAGGAGGTTGGAGGCTAGGTCCTTGATTCAATGAGATTGTTTGTCTTATGCACACCTGTCTTGAAGTGACTCAGCTACAGCGTGACCAGCGGCCAGTTCCTTGCAGAGATTGGCCTGGCCAAGGACAACCCCCTGACGGTTCCTGGGTTTTAAGTGCTTGTGGAACACGGAAGCTTAAAGGGTTTCCTTGCAACGAGTGGAACAATGCCTTCGGTCCCTTGTCACACGTTTAAAACCTCACAGCTTGTATGATGTAACCATTTAGGATCCACTTTTAACTTGAACTAGGGTAACTCCTTCATGCAAGACACTGATAAGAGCCATGCTGTCTAGTCTTGAAGTGCCCAGGCTGAAACAAAACAATGTTTCAGCCAAGCTCAGAGATTCAAGTTTTCCTCTGCCCTAAGA